AATGTTTGAGTTAGTAATTTTTCTTTGCTTTGTTTAACCTCTTTTTACTGGTTCTGCTTAGTATCAATAACTGTTCAAAATTTATTTTGGGGAACTTTGAATTGGCAATACTTGAAATTTTTTCTGTTGTATAGAATGGTAAATTATTACATTTTCTGTAAGAACCGTGATCATAATCTTTGATGCATAATTATCATAAAGTTAGTTTGCAACTGAAAAGCTCAAACACATCTCCAGCTGCCATACCAATTAGTCTTAATCAGACACAGAACTTGCTAGTGCTGCAGTGATTACTGAATGCCTGAATACATAAAAGGTTAATGAAATGGTATTAGACTAAGTAGAGTATTTCAAAGTATCTTAACATTCTTATTGTACAAAACAGTAATTTGCCTGTGGAACTCAGTGTCCAAATACATTAATGACTGTAGCTGTCAACATTTTTTAAATTTACTGAAAAACCAAACTCTTTACTAATTTTAATGTATGACTTTGTTTATTGAGTACATTTACTGTGGTTTTTATATTTTCTGTAAAATCTGTGTGCTGTTGAAGAGGGTTTTTATTTTCTTGATGTTTTCTCCATAAATACAATCATTGTGGCTATTGTTAGTAGTATAGGTATTATTATTGTAGGTATTATTGTAAACAAAGTAAAGATCAGGTTTGTCTTTGTTACAAGCAAATGTGCTGTATCCTGCAGGTATTACAAATAATATGTAGCTTTCATAACCTTAAAGGAAGAACATTTAGACCTCAGTAGGACTAGGATGATAAAATAAATTACCAACCTTAATCCAGCTCTATAATAAATCTAGTATTTGTTTAGAAGACTCACTGTGTTTATCAGATCTGCTATGTGAGGTTCACTCTGCTCCACATATTAAATGTTTTAATTAATTTAAAACATTATTTGGGGACTAGGGCGTAAATTAATTCAAGCAAGTTAGCCTTGGACCCATTTCCTCATACTTTTCCTGGCAGTAAGACAATGGATGCATCCAAGCAGCCTTGCATGGTCCTTAAAGAAAGTAAGAGAAGAAGGAAAAAGATGTTGATGAAGAAAGCACAACCTTTTACTTCCCTTAGGGAGCAATTCTGAGATACAGCTTCAAGACAAAACTTAATGTGTTTATGTTTATAAATGGTTAATGAAGAATGGCCTATGTAAAAATAAATTATAATTTACTGATAAATTTTGTTCTTAGCCTTAGAGTCTGGATTGACTGACAGAGATTAAGTGGTGCTGAAGGAAATCTGTATTGACTCTGTATTAAACACAGTAATGGATTGTGACTGTATGTGTGACTGATTTAATACTTTATGATTGGTAAATATGTTTTCTAAAAGTGTCTCCTCAGCCTTTAATAACTTGTACATATATCTTAATGCCTCATTGTCAATTAACTTTCTACACATATAAACACTTGCATAAAGATCAATTTAGTCTCTATCACACCATTAGATCATAAATAATCCCCAGAAGAGTACATTAAAAACTATAGCTGTGAAGGCAGTACTGCATAAGGCGATCTGTGACTGATTAGAGGTATTAGAAAGGAAATTAATTGCCTGGAAAATAAATTTTAGTTGTAATGCATATAAATATATAAATACATTTGTTGTTGGAATACAGTATATAAATCTAAAGTAACTTTCTTCACTTCAGACATTTTTCTAATGTACATTGCAACTCATCTTGGGCAATGATGAAAAAGAAAGGCATTTAGAGTTTGCAATCTGTCGAAGTGTTTTATATCGGTGTTTTTTTTTAAATGGGATTATTGACCAAAATGAGCCTATAATGTAACACGAGAATGCTAGATGTGTATTGATTAGTCTCACTTCCTTAGTGAGTAATGTAAAGTAAGGGTCTGGTCTACACTGGTGTTAGTTGGCAACATTAAATATACCTAATGCAGAGTTCATTCATTTCTTTAAAATAAACTTGTGATTCCCTAGTTCTAATTCATGGGGTATGCTTAACTGGAATCACTGGGAATAAATTAGCTAGTCTGCTTGGTTGTGACTTAGAACAGTACTGCCTCATAATGCTTAGGTTCTTGTGGAATTTGATAATATTACAGGAGGTCAATGTATTCTTCAGTTGACTTGACATCTGATGCCTGTTCTAGAATTGTTGTACAAAAAAGAATTGAGAGGCCAGACTTCATATGAGCTTCATAGGATTGATAGATAGTTAGAGAGATAGATACTTTATTAATCCTGTGAGGGAAATTGCAGTGCAACAGCAGCCAGGCACAGTCAACACGGTACAGTCCAACATAATAATATAATAATACAACAATACAATGCAGTAAGCACGGACAGTGAGAAGTGCAATAAAAATTGATGTCTACAGTGTGAAGAGTGTAGTAATGATTAGGATTTGAACATGGTTGTTAAAAATTAGGATGTAAAATATCTAAATATAATTTAGTTCTGATGTCTGCAGAATTGACCTCAATATTGTTAAAGCTTCAAAGTGACTAGGAAGTATTTCTAAGAGTTATAAAGTGTGTGACACCTGGCAGAGTAAACACTTCAGTTTACTCTGCTTCAAAGCAGAGGGGATGTGGGGGATCCGCTGATCAAAAACAATTGGAAAGTTTACCTTGGTATACCTAGGTAATTAAGTTGTGGGTTAATGATTGTTAATGAGCGGTACAGAAGCACACCATATAAAACCACATTAGAACCACAGAGAAAGGACAGGGAGAAAAGGAAGGTCAGACCACAAGGGGAGGAGTCAGGAGGAACCTGAAGCTTGCGCCAGGCCAGATGTGAGCCCCTACTTTATGATAATCTAAACAAAATCTGACTGGAGCTACAGTAAGTATTTGAATCTCACTAGGGAGAGCTGGCTATTCTGTGTTTTAGGGAACGTGGGTTTCCTGGGTAAAAGATACCTTGGTAAGAGACATCATTCCTGCTTAGGGTTCATTTTTAGAATAGGAAGAGAGGCTCCCATTTATTTTGTGGCATCTGTGTTTGCAGAAAGAGAAGGTAACTGAAGGTTGTATTGCATTTACTAGGAAGGCAGCTTATCTCTTATTGTGGCCTCTGTGGACATTATTCAAGAGTTCAATACTTAGTAGCAGCCTAGGGGCTTCTAGATGATTTAGGGTTTTAGGCCTCTGAAACACCTTGTCTGTAAATGCAGTATACACAGAATAAGTTGTGTGTAGTTGTTCTCTGTAGCATCGTTTTTGTCTTGTCATTGTTACTAAATATTTGTTAAGTGTGCCTGGATTATTACTCTTGTCACCAAAGCTGCATCAGAGAATAAAGAATTCATGTCTTTAATTATAACCAGCACTTGTGTATATTCTGGAGAAATCACTTACAATTGTGGGTTATGAATTATTTATTTCTCTTCTTGACTAAACAGCTCGATCAATTCCTGATCTTCACCATTTTCATAACCCCTACGTTTCTAACAATATATTCCCACAAACTTTTGAATTATGAGAACATAAAACATAAAATAAAAGGAAGAATTAAATTTGTCTACATCAATACTTTATTATTTTATCAAGGTGCAAGAAAAATCAAATAAAATAACTTACTCTTAATCTCTCAGATCTATGGTATTTATGTTGATGATTGTGGAAAAAAATTGAAATTTGCATCTAATCTTTTCACAATAAGAAATAGAAATCTTTTGAGTCCAATGCAAATTCTGAATTGCCCATCCTTATCTAATCTTCATTTACCCCTGTTAATTTTATATAATTGAGAAATGTGCATGACTTGTACTTATTCTGATTTGTTCTTAAAGTAAAGTAGCTACTGTATGTGTGTGGAGACTCACACTTCCTCCCTTTATTTTTAGTTGTGGTTGCATATTGCAGCTGAATTGAGTCAGTCGTGTTGGTCTCCATCATAGCAAGGCTTAACATTAGACAGATGAGTGAGAGATTAGACAGATGAGAAGTAAGGTTACAGAGTAATGCATCGCTGCACACGGTAAGCTAACATTTTGACAAAAAAAAATCAAACTTGACATCTATTCAATTTAATGAACCTTACAGAGGAAAGAATAAAGAGCCTTTATGGAATCTCTCACTGGGTCCACAGGTTAAAACACAAACAAATGAACAAAAACTCTGCCTTTTCCTTTAGGAAACATGGTGAATGGCACTTGGATGTTGCTTCTGCTCCACTACAGGAACAATCATCTTCATCTATAGGAAATAACATTCCTATAGGATTTGCATCCATAGAATCAATCTTTCTTTTTTCCTTTAAAATCTTTTTCTGGCATATACAAGTGATGTAGGAACACACTTAAGATACTGTGTATCTTAGTTTATTAATAGAGATACAGTATAACACATTTAGGTATCTGCAGACAAAAATGTGGAAATAATGCATTCAATTGCATAACTTATAAATTTAAATTATTTCTTAAAACCAAAAAGCACAGCAAATACTTCTTATTCAGATAAATACACTTCTGTACTGACCTAGTAGTGCAGGCTAATCTGGTATTCAGTGTTCCATGCTAAAGTGCATTTTTTGTGCTTTTTTATAGTTCTACTGTAGAAGATAATTTATTCAGTTGTAATCTCCTAGAAAATGTTTGTGAATCATTGTTGAGAATTTATGTGAATTATATAAACAAAAGCAGCATGGTCACATGCTTCAGTGAAGAATATCAACTCCATATTTACCTTAGAAATGTTTACATGGAATACATTTTAGCAATGTGATTCGTTCTTTTTGATAATAATTGTTCTTTGATAAATGGGGCAGATTCAGTAGTGTTGAAACAAATGTGGCTCATTATGATGATCAAATGGTTTTATATAAAATTACTCTGTAATCAAAGGCACTGAATTCCTGAATAATGAACAGTACAAAACTGATTGTTTTTTATTTTATGTAGATATACACTTCAGAAGATTTATAGGAGATCTCATAAATCTGTACAACATTGTGCAATCTAATTGCACAATATGAAAATGGTATTAATTGATGTTCTGCTTTTTTTGCAGTGAATTTTGACCATTTCCAAATCCTTCGAGCCATTGGGAAAGGGAGCTTTGGCAAAGTAAGCACTTAAATACTCTACCACATATTTCGTTCATGAATCATGTGTCCATTATTTACATTGATATAAATAATAATTATATTGTATTTCAGGGCCAACAGATCTGAATGATCTTTATAGTATACTATAATACACAGAGATTGTGACGCATTGGACCCAAGCTAATTTTATTGTATTAATTACCTATACTCATTAAAAAAGGAAACAGTAAGAGATTTATAAAGTAGGCCTTAAGTAATTACATTGTCTTTTCAATTACTCATAACTTCTGCTGTTACACCAGTTAATTAATTTTTTGCCATTTTTAATGATGTTCCTGTCTACTGAGACTTTACTCATGCCCAAAATTGTTATAATGAATCTTGTTGTAAAACTTAAATTCTGTTTGAATAACAATGCAGAATGACACAATACCTTTGATTAATCTTCATTTTACCAAGAAAGCATGCACCCCAGGAAACAATTTCTGAGTTTCAATGTTATGTAAATACTACAGTACTAAAAGAAACAGTGCTTCCATTGTCTTGGTGATACTGCCATTAGAAAGCACGGAAATTAAAAATGAACATCAAGCTCTCTACAGTCATTTAGAGAATTCTATGACTCATACTGTATAAGCTTACATGTGGACCTTATCACAGATGAAAAATAATTATGTGGAAAGATTAATGTATGAAGTAATGTTTCAAATCATATATACACAGTGCTCCTTGTAACAGCTAGATGATGCTATCAGTTTAGAAGACAGGAAACATCTCAGGAAATTGAACAAAAGAACCTTCTTCTCTTTTGTAAGAATTTTTAATAAATTGATAATATGTTTGCCTCACCACTGAAGTATAAATTAAAATAAAACAACACGAGCATGATGACATATTAAAAAATGTTTTGTTACGTCTTTCAAAACTATTTGAATGTATAAAAATACATTCACAAATCGTTTAGAAAATTGTTATTGTGGACAAAGAAAAGCCAAAACGTTTAAAAAATGTTAATGGATTTTATTTTTCCCACAAGGAAATAAAAAAAAAATATGGACATTTTGGAATCATTCTATGTAATTAACCTGTATAACACCTACATACTCACTTGTATGAGTCTTTGACCTGCATAATTATATTACAAAATTGCCTTTTGTGAAAAGTTATTTCTTTTCAGGGGTTAGGGGCAAGAAGACAAGATGTCTTTCTACAATGTACAAAGAAACAAAACTTTTGCACATCTATTTAATTAGATATAATAGAAAGCACAACAATCTAATTTTGAAGGTTATCTGTGTTTTGTTTTTTTAAAGTCCTGAAAGCTTTAAATAAGGACTTGCTAACTGTCTCACAGGGTTTACTGGTGTTGGTTCCTTCTAATAAATTCCTTTTGGAAATAAGTGTTTTCTTTTAGCATGACATCAGAGCCTGCTGCAGAATATATTACCATTTGAATGTACTGTATGTAAATTTGAGTCATTACTGTTTTCCCTGGAGCCATTGACTTTCTTATCATAAAGTTCCTTCCAAGGCATGTCCGCATTAGTCCTAAAACTAGCAAAGTCAACCAATCTTTAATAAGAATTATAGCTGCAGTATTGAGTATTAAGTTCAACTTTATATCTGGAATATAATGTACTCTTGTGAGGAACAAATAATAGGTTTATTCCATGCTGAAAAGAGAAGAGAGAAAACACAATGTTTCAGCCTTGGAGCTTTCTTCAGGTGTGTTAATGTACTCTTGTCTGCTTGCTAGATCTTTTTTCCCAGGTTCATCTTCTAGCAGACAAGTCTAGGTGTCTCGTATCGCTTTCCTTAGGGTCACTTTACCTTACAGCTCTCAGGTTCCCTGATCTTTTCACATATACTGTAGTATGCCTTGCTGTTCCTGGTTGAGCTTCATGTTCTGATTGTTTCTAATTATGCATTAAATATTAGGAATTTCCTACAGATTTGCACTGTGGGGGGTAGATATCCCAAAATAAATTGAGAAGTTTGATGGAAAGAATCCAAGAATAGCAATTGACTGTAAATGTCCCAGTAAGCTGGCAACAGCAGAACATGAACAGCTCTACTGACTGGCGATCTTTCAAGCAATAAAGTTGATGGCACCATGGCAAGTTAGCTAATGAGGTGTTAGAGTGCTAACAGCAAGAGCTGAGAAAGAAAGGAGGTCAAAGTGTTGGAAGAATAGACGGCAAATGAATTAAAACAGAACTCATAGCAGCAGACACAATACACAGGTCTAACAGAAACTGCAGAGAGAGAACACAGGATGTAAGATGGTATAACATTTATTCAGTTGTAATCTTCTAGAATATTGTTGTGGATCAAAATGAGTGGTCAGTTATAGTGACCAGTGCTAGTCTACACAGTTTAATTCATCCCTTATATGCCCATAGGCAGGTGCTGTCATTCAGAAAGGTCTCAGTCATTTCAGCAGTTTGGTGAACCTCAAGAATGCTTGGGGAAAAAAGGGGGATTTTACTTTTTTCTTAGTATTACTGTAGAAGGATTACAGTATTAGTCTTTTATGGGACTGAGGGAATTAAATATGGTTAACTACTTATATTGAAATGACTGATTAAGGATGGGATTTTACACTTTAACACATTATTACTAAGTGCTTTAGGTGTTTGTTTTGATATCGCATTTCAGTTTTTTGGACATTGTAAAGGTAAACAGATGGAAATATTGAATTTCATTCAAAAGGATATTTTTTTTGTTGCAATAAAGATGTTGCTCCAGAATCATACCAACAAAGAGCAACCAGACACATCCCTTGGCTTAAAAGATTCAAAACTGAATCTTTTTTGGCTTTGAACACAAAAGATCAGGAGAACATCTGATTCAACTATTACAAATCCTCACAGGTGTTCCCAGTTTCACCTGAATTCAAGCACTTCAGAATCCACCATTAAATATGAACTAGGAGAAACAAATGGGAACTAAGGAAAGAGACTTTAAAGCTGAGAAAAGGAGGCATTTTTTTACATAAGGGGTAGTTGAGAGTATAACACGAAATCCAAGTGAAGGTGACATTCTGGCTTTGTTAAAGAAACAACTTGAAGAGACACTTGGATCAACTAGCTATTAGGACCCAAACGAGCTAGTGTGAATTGCCTTCTCTCATTTGTAACCTTTCTTATGTTCTTATATGAGCTAGAATAATTGTAGATCTCCAGGGCATCTACTCAATTAGTGTGAGAACTAGCTTATCTATGTGTCTCATTAAATCCACTAGAGGAAACAATGGGAAGTCCGACTCCCTGAGTGAATTGTAAAGATGTACAATAATATTCTCCTTTTGTAAGCGAAAGATCAGCAATGATGCGAGAGGTTACCCCCTAACACTAAGAAACTCTTTGTGTAATTAAGATAGAGAACAATGTAAAGCAATTACTTTGATTGAGTGGAAGTAATGAAACAGCTTATATTTGACATTAAAGATCAATTAACTTACAATTAGAGCTTTGGAGTGAAACAGAAGAGAAATTAGATAATGTAGCATATCTACAGTAAAGCTTTGCTGGGTCTAGAAAGCTAAATGTTGCTAAATTTAAGAACAAAATATTTAATTCAGACGAAAAGAGTAGTTTGGAGAGGCAATTATGTGGATTTTATTATTAAAAATAGATCGGACAGTTTCCATTCTTGGAGAAACTGAGAAAGACCATTAACTCAAAGCTTCAGAAGGGTATTTAAGTTTAAAAAAAGAAAAAAAAAACTTGGGAAAAGTTATTCTCATATGTGTAAGTCATATATATTTGCCACGGAAGCAGACAGTTTGACATGTAAATGTACTTGCTTTTCACACATTTTATAAGTGTGACATTTTTTAAGTTGCATTCAGGAAAAAAAAAATTAACACAAGTGAGTTCATCAAGTACTTTAACATATCTCACAGGGTTTGAAAACAAATGTGAGATGGGGTCTGGTCAGAAATGGAATATGAAACCTTAAATAGGAAAATAAGGTATCTGCTGAAAATGGTGTCGGTGGACCGGGTGATGCTATTCCTTCTAGGCCAGAAAAAGAAGAAAGCAATGACCAAGTATGGTACAACACTGCTGTATTACAGTATGTGCCATTCTTTGGATAAGATGTTACAGTATGGTTACTCATTAAAGATCCAGTGTCACTTTTCAAAAGAAAAGTGCAGTGTGCTGGCTAATTTCCACTCTGGACTTTTACGATCTGGCTGGATTGAATTAAGAGAGAAATCTCTGTATACCCCCCACTTAATTCAGTATTCAAGCAATTTCTCGCTTTTTTACCTGATGTACTGTACAGGAAGGATACTGCTGCTTTGTGCCCATTGCTTGTTGGGATACGTTCTGGCTCCCCCATGACCTGAATTAGAAAATGGATGGAGGATTCTATTATGTTATTATTAGCAGTAGTGGTAGTTGTGGCAGTTGTAGTACAGGTATAATACTTACACCGTATAGTATTGGACAATTCACTAAAAAACATAATATATTTATTTTTCACAATCAAGTAAATATACCAAATATGTAGTAAACGTAACAAAGGTGGCTTTACCTGTAAGTGGTTTAAAGTTTGTTTAAGGCAAATCTAGATCAAATTAGGGATTTCTTTGTCATTATTTACAACTAAATTGTATTTAGCGGGATACGTTTTTTTCTTTGCTATAATCATGCCCTTTTACTTCTAAGAAAGGACTGAACTCCTGTCAGAAACCAATCAAGCAAACAAAACAAATAACACAAAATAACAAATAACATTTTTAGTCACAAACAATTTGGTATAGGCTCATAATCAGGAAATATTGGATTTTGAATTTTTTGACCTTGACTTTATTAAAGGTTAATTAGGAAACTGGTAATTACTACCTTTTTTCCTCATGGGAGGATGATAAAATAAAAAAAATATTACCTTTAACAATCACTCTCCTGTAACCATTTCATAGCTTAGAATTTACAATTATAACTGTGACTGGTTATAAAAAAGACTGCCTCAGGTGCCTCAAGCCTCAAGAAACGTGATGTGATTGTA